GAAATAATATAATTTAAAAAAATAATAAATAAACAAATAAAACAAAAGAAATTAACAAATAAACAATAAATTACTTATCATAACCATTAGTAATTTATCCAAGCTACAAAAAAAAAAAAATTAAAATGATATTAATTAAATTTAATAAAAAATTAAATTCCAATCTTTTATTATAAACAAAATTGCTAATTAATATTAAAAAATAAATAAATAATAAATTAAAAAAATAAACAAATAAAAAAATTAAATTAAAGTAACTTACCGCTATAATCATTAATCACTAATTTCACAATTTTCAACTGATCCTAAAATATAAAAATTTAAAAATTAATAATTCTAATTTACACACATTAACACTTCTTCCTTTCATTTCGCTTTACCACCTCACTACTCTACTGCCTCCTACTTATTCCACTACCTCTGCTGCCTCCTACTGCTCTTCATACTACTCACTTAATTAGACACAAACCCTAAAATAAATTAAAAATATATTAACAAACAGCAAAAAAGAGAAAATAAAAAAAATATTAAAAAAAATATTTACTTATTGCAACTAAAGTTGGTAAACTTGCTTTCTTCAGTTCTAAAAAAAGAAGTTTATAATAGTATATTAGCAAAAAAGATTATCAATTTATTAATTGATAATCAATTCAAAATCTGAATTCAGATCTGAATCCAATCTGAATCCGACAGATCAGATTTGAATTTGAATTTGAATCTGACAGATCAGATCTAATCTGAATCTGAATCTAAATTAGATCTGAATCTGATAGATCTGATCTGAATCCATCAGATTCAGATTGGATTCAGATTGATCTGAATCTGTGCAAAATACTAACATCAGGAATAATAGATTCAGGAAAAGTGTTCAAATATTTGTCCAACTCTTTTAATGCCTCTATACTTTATTGAAACTACGTACTCATAATTTTAATTATAATAATCTCAACTATTAAAATAGAACTATGCTTAGATATTCACTGTATAGCAGGAAGTAATCCCAGATAATATAAAATATCATTTATTTTATTATTATCTAATAGGTAATATTCTGAATTATCAATTGACATATCTTTTTTAGTTTCATTCTTATATATAGAACTGTCATTCATACTAGAACATCTTAATAAAGATAATAACTCTGAAATGTTACCTCTTTGAGAAGTTGACTAGATTCTACTAATACCACTAAGTTATGCTAATAAAGAGGGTGATCCACTTATAGGTATAATTCTCAAAAAAAGTAATCAGAATTACAAAAAATATAATAAATAAAAAATTAGGTATTAAAATTACTTTAAATTTTAAAGATTTATTAATAAATATATAAATATTATATATATAAATTTTCAGCTATTTACTTTATCTCCTTGTCTTACAATCACATTTTTAATTAAAAAAAAAAATCATTAAAATTTAAAGAATGAAAAATTTGTTAAGTTTTTATATAATACCTTAAATATCAATGAATAGCTTTTTATATTCATATAAAAAAATACTAATATGAAAAGTATACTTTTTAGTAGATTTATGAAAAAAAATTTTGATGCTATTTTATCTGTTAGTTTTTAGTAAATCGAAATTAAAGTTGACTACAAAATAACATGCAGAATACAGATCATAATCGTACTTATTTTAATATTAAACATATAAATTTTTTGTATATTTAAATACTATTAATCTACATTAAATAATTTATATAATAATTTTTATAACTATTGTAGTTTAAATTAAAATCTTAAATTTTTGTTCTTTTAGCTATTGTTAAAGGTTAAGGTTATTTTAGTAAATAAATTTTAATTTTAATTTTCTCAGCAATTAATGAATCATAAAGTATCAAAATTTTTTTTCAATAAATTAGCATAGTCTGAACTTTAATTTTATAGTTATTTAATTTTAATAAATTGGTATTAAAAATGCTATACTAAAGTTTTCAGATTTTTACTGCTTAAATTTTTAATGATATTTTTTTTAACTTAAAGGACGATTGTGAGATATGGAAATAGAATAAATAGCTAAAATTATGTATACATAATATTTACATATTTGATAACAAATCTGTAAAATTTAAAGTAATTTCAATCACTAGTTTTTTATTTATTACATTTTTTGTAATTCTGATTACTTTTTTCAAGAACTGTATACTCAATGCATTAGGATTTGTTATAGATAATAGACTTGCTAATAATGCAGTAGGTTTATTAAATGTTAAATTGGCTGATAATAATCCTGATGACAATTTCACTGATACATCATCATTTATTTTATCATCTTTATCCTTGTCTAATGGTGCAGCAAGTCGAGATCTTAGGCCTGTTTTTTTAGCAATCCTTCTTGCAGCAGGGTCACTAGGATTTATTGATTAAACAGCTTCTATCATTTGCATAATTGTTTGTTTTACTGCACCTTTCAAATCATCACATCTTGCTACCACGTGATCATATTTGGCATTTTTTATTATAGCTTCTAAATAAACCTGTGCAACTTTTCTAACTTTACCATTTTGATCTTATAAGCAAGATAGAATTGGTTAAACTATGGGTGACAAATCTGATAATACATTCTTTTTATCACACTCTACATATTCTTTGAGATATTTAGAGAGCTAATTTAATAGATCTTTTCTTAATAAAGGATTATTTGTTACAAGACTTGTTGAAAATAAACTAATTAAAAGATTAAGCTCACAAGTATTTACTAAAGCATCCAAAGTTCTAATAACACTACCACATAATGTTGCTTTTTTTATCTGTAAGAATAGCAATAATTAGCATTAATAATATTTTAATATGTTTGTCAAATGACTTTCATTGCAGTAGCAAGCTTGGCAGTTATATTCAAAGCTATCATTTGCAAGTTTTTATTAATATCTGATAGCCTCTCTTTTAGAATAAGAATGAAGTCACCTATAATATAAATATTGTAAATAAGGTTATTTTACTTTTTTTAAAGTTTATTTATATATTAACAAATGTAAGCTTGGTTTAATTTTCTTGTTAGTATCAACAATAATAAGAACTTAATTGAGTGCATTCTTTTGAACTTTTCATTTATTATTGTTGTATTTCTAATAATATATATTATTATATCAACTATTTACCATTAAGCAAGAATAATATAATCACCAATTAAAGAAACTTACAGCCATTATTTTACTAGTAAATTGTATGCTAATATTAACTTTAGAAAATAATTCTTCTAAAGAATCTTTTTCACTACTACCCTTACTTATAACATTGACCTTTTTAAATGTATAAATAGATTAAATAAAAATCAATATATATAAAAATAATTCTAGATT